GGTTTAATCTTAGACCTTCAGCACCAAGGACAGTTGTCCTACCTGCTGACCCAGAGAAGAGACAGGCCAGCAGAGAACAGGAGGAAACAACCCAGATGTCTATGGATAAAGAGGGCCAGCAGCTTCCCAAATGTGTCTGCAGTCAAGGACAAACCAGGATGAATCATCCGGGAAACGCAAATCACAACCACGATGAGATAACCCCGCACACCTGTTAGGGTGGCCATTGCTGAAAAACAAAAGCTGACGGGCGTTGGTGAGCATGTGGAGAAAGGGGACTCTGGTGCACTATCGGTGGGACTGTAAGATGATGCAGCTGCTGTGGAAAACAGTATGAAAGTTTCTCAAAATATTAACAATAAAACTACCATAGGATCCAGCAATCCAACTTCTGGGTGTATTCCCAGAACAACTGAAATCAGGATGTCAAAGAGATATTCTCACTGTCAAGGTCATTGCAGCGCTATTCACAACAGCCAAGATGCAGAAACAACCTACATGTCCATCAAAAGATGAATAGATCAAGAAAAGGGGGTGTATGCNAGCCCTCTGTCCTCAAAGAGGGGACAGTGCTGTCCTGCTAACGTTCTTTCCCAAGGGAGGAAACATCTAAAATCCTTGGAAACACTATTCCAAATTTAGAGAGACTAAGAGGAGCCCCATGCGTGGCAGACTAAAAGGAGCGCCATGCGTGGAGAAGGCACATTCCTCCTCTTACCTGGGACATTCCTCCTGGGTGGGGACAGGCCAGAAGGGGGCGAGACTCAGCCTGGGACAGCGGGGTGGGGCGTCTCCTTGCAGAGAGAGTCTGGAACTGTGCTCTCTGTCCTCTGGCCGTGAGCTGCCTCTCGGACTTCCTGGAGATGCTGGGCCTTGGGCGAGTTTGATCAAGGTTTCTATGCACCCCTTGCTTTTCCTGAGGGTGGACTCTGGCCAATGAGAGGCCAGGCTTGTGTCTGTGGGGACAGATATCTGAGCATCTGATGGCACATCTCGTGGCCTGCTGGCCCACTGTGGCTTCATCTGCCCAGGCAAGTGCTTCATCTCTCTGTCGGGCTCCTTTCTACTCTGGCCAGAGGGCAGCACAGTTCTGACGGCCCCTGGCTCTCTTGCCCTGGGGACAGGGAATAGGGACCTTGGAGTGAGCAGACCAGATTCAGGGCTGGGTATGCTGATTCTGTCCAGTGAGCTTGACCTCATGCTGTTGCCCTCGATCAGCAAGGGACCAAGATTAAATTCAGAAAATCCTTCAGACAAGCGCTTTCATCATGGTTAACCCCTGGAGAAAGAAGCCCCTGACAGACATTCTAGTAGAACTCTTGCACGGAGAAGCCAGCGACGGGGTCCTTCATTCACCTCATTCAACAGTGCCTGGCCCTTCAGGGGTGCTCTGGAAATGTCTCCTCATTACAGGGATGTAGTGGGGCTCTGTGTGCAGGTTTCACCTGCACTGTTCCCTCACAGGAGCCACAGCAGGTCTGGGAGACGCACGCTGGGCCAGCCCTGTGCACTGCCTGATGTCACGGGACTGAGATATGGGGTTGCCCTGGTCTGATCTCGTCTCCCAAATTCACTCTGCTAATGTACATTTCTGGGGTCTTGGTTTCCAAACTGGGTTTTTCTGA